CATTCTGCAGGCGATTACACGAAGGAAAGCTAACTGGCTGGGACATATTATGAGAAGGAATGGGTTACTGAGTGATATCATCGAAGGCCAGGTTGAAGGAAAGCGAGGGCTGGGAAGAAGACTGATACAGCCAACCGACGACCTTAAACAAGGAAAGAAGATGACGTTCCAGGAATTAAAACGAGAAGCTGAGATTAGGGAAAACTGGAGAGCTCTTTTTGGGCAGAGCAATGGACCTGTCATAAGACAGAACAGTGAATAATAATAATAATAATAATTTTTATGTCTGGATAGGTTATGTTGGTATGAAAATTAGTTTCAATGTAATCTTGATTCTGGAATATTATTAACTGATGTTTTGAGATTGAGATTATATTTGAAGTTTTGTGTAATGAATGCAATGTGTTTGGTGACATTTTTAGAACCACTCGAATGAATGAATATACTGTTTATCAGTTCAATCAGCAAGCTCTTGGAGATTTATGCATGAATGGAAACTTCTGTGATGTAGCAGTGTCTGAATGAAGTATAATTTAAAACTCGTGTAAATTACAGCTTTGGAGAAAGAGGAATGCCAATTTCAGTTAACACACATTAATGATTTTAGAAGATAATTACGAAGTTTCGAAAAATGACAGTACTAACTCATAAGATGTTCACCAGTTATTCCTGTCCTAATATTACTTTTGAATTGATGCTTCATTGCTGCAGCCACGAACAATGCACATGTGACCATTTCATTATAGGAGCTTTATCTTGGCTTGATTTTAGGAGTAGAACACAATTCTTAAATGAAATGCGTGCAATTAAGAATCACCCGCACATATATTATTTATTGCAGAGGTGTCAGGCAATTAATCTGCATTTATTCTTCATATTAATACACCTAATTAATTTCATCGCCTAGCATGTGAAGGCATCTGGACCATGAAAAACTTGGCATCAAGACAGACTTGCCAGTATGAAGACGCAATTAAGGCTCTCAAGGAGTGAACAATTGCAAAGGCCATGTTCAAGTTGGAGAAGCAGCAACACAGAGTTAGAACTCTTAGCTGTGAAAGACTGTACTGGAATTACTGTAATTTCATTGAAACTTTATTTGTTTAATTATGCTATGACAACAGACAGCATTTTAGTATCTAATGACCAGAAAGTGTCCAGATCTTTCTAGAGGAAACAAAGTGTAACACATCATCGTCATATTGCCCTCTTAATTACGTATATGGTGTGTATTGTGTCAGCAAGCATTGTTTGCTTCTACGAGCGTTATTATAACATGTTTTCACTGTGCACTCATCTAATGTATTAACTCACATGTTCCTCGGTGTCAGCTGCAGTTTCTTTTCAGTTGTTCGACCCACCATTTGTCTGCCACTGCCTCTCAGCATCATCACTTTGCTACGTATGATTGGTGCAACTCTTGACCTTTTAACCTACCTCAGCAACAAGATACATATCAGTAACAATTCCTTCTAAAGAATGATCCTCTTAACATTTTAGTTTCACTTCCAGGACTTCCACTCATATCCGTTCTATTCCTGAGAAGACCAAAAGATGGTACCATAGAAAACAAAGTACGTTACCTCAACTACAGTAATTTGCTGACAGTTTAGGTGGATGGAAAATTGTAAAGGAACTGTTTCTGAATGTTTTGCATCTTACTCTGAAGGATGCAGACAGTAAAGAATGGAGTTCTAACTGCATTAGTTTTCTTACATGTTTTGGAAGAACTTAAAAATGATAAAAATGGGCAAATATGTAGCAGTTTATCAAAAATGTTTATATTCATGTGTATGGTTCATGGTAAATAACAAAACATCATTTATTGCATAGATTCAAATAAACTATTAACATTATCAGTTGAATTACAAAGAGACGACATCTGAAAACTGGAGCCGAAATATGACTCATCACATCCCGAACTTCAACACTGCTGAGAATTTCCTCTTCATTATGATCCATTAGGCATCAGGACTGGAGCTATGTAAGAACAAGCCTGCAATACTAGTAACAAAGGCCAAAAAATTAGTGAGTAAATTCAGATATAGTGGAACTTAATTAATATGGCGTGTAAGAGATAAGTAACGATGTCTTATTAAGACATGTTTATAAAAGTGTATTTTTGTTTTAAAATGCAGACTAGGCCCCTGAAAATTAAACAAATGTCTAGTCCAACAGTGAACCTGAAGCTGAATTAGCTTAATGTGATTTACATTACCAATGCCAACTTATTAAGTCATCTTTTCCCACTGCATGGCACTTCCTCTGGAAGCAGGAGAAGGCATCCAGAAATGGAGGGTCGCTGGAAATCAGGTCGGATGCTAACAACTCACCATAAAAGGACTAGCATATTTATACGGGTCTAATTTTTTAACTAGCTGAGCATGCTGTCAGCCTCTCACACAGTTTATAGCATGCAGTCCCACACAACCTGTTAATTCTCGTGGGATGCTCTTCTTTCAAGCGCTTAGAACGAAAACACAGTGCTGCCAATGTGTAAGTTGAGCATTAACAGACTAAGAGCCAGTTGACAGTCTGACCGCATGCAGCCTTTGTAATAACACTGCAACTGTGCTCTCTCCTTCAAAAATGAGGGTCTGGAATGAGGTATGGGATGAAGGAAACAAGAAAGAAAGGATTTAAGAAAGTAAGAAAGGAGGAAATGAAGAAAGGACTCCAGCTCGTGTATTAAATAAAATCTAATGTAATTAAGAGTCTATAATAATAGGACTGTGTACCAAAGAATTTTAAGGCAATGAAAATTGATTTTGTACGTGCTGTGTTATCTTCATCTCATTTTTTATCCTTATAATCATCAACCAGAAATTAGTTCTTGGGCACATGTTTCAGAAGTAACCTTCAACTCTGTGACCGAATGACTTGCATGCCTATATTCATAAATTATTTTAGTTATCTTACTGTGCGGGTGTTGACAGAGGTTGAAGGTGCTGTTGCCATGAAAATGTGGTGTGTCTGCCAGTGACATAAAATACTCCAGGAGGGTCAGGTGAAGACGATCTTTGCCTGTATTTTGCTTCTCTTTTGATTGCAAGAGAACTGTTCACTTTGATTTTGTTCAAGAAGGTCAAGCAGCAAACCAGCGTTATTTGGAAACACTGGCAAAGTTACGCATCGTGACAATGACCCTGGTAATGACGCACTTGCCGTCTACGAGTTTTGGGCCAGAAATTGATGTTGACACTGGACCATCCACCACATTTGGCTATTCCCAAAACTGAACACTCGTTTGAAGGGCCACAAAATTTCAGGGACATGCAATGGCCATCCTGAAAAGCATTCCTAAAGAGGAGTTACAGAAACGTTTCCAGCAGAGGATAAACTGTTTCACAAAGTGTATTGGTATGCGGGGAAAACTGCTTCAAAAGTGACAGCAACCATTATTGAGCAGGTAATTAAGCACAGCTTTTATGGGGCATTTCAGGGATGTAATTGTACACCTCCTGAAACAAACACAAATGTCATATGTTCAATTTTGTTAAAAGGAAATTTATTCTGAACTTCACAGGAAAAAATCTGTACCTCAGAGGATAGCAATTCCATTCTGTTATTCCAATAGACATTTGGGACTATTTTATTCGATCATAAAGTGGTGATTTCAGTGAATGTATTTAGTGCTATGCACTAGCTTAAACTCAGGTAGAAAATTAATACATACATCTTTATTACATTCCATGGATCCATAAGTTAGTCAGATGGCAATAGGATGTAGAATAAGTCATAATAATACAATACATGTTATACAAATACAAGTCATATAAATGTCACAAAAATACAAACAAAGGATAAATTACGACTTACTTGTAGACATTAGGAATTCATCGACATCCTGTCACTCATTAACTCACAGAACACCAGAAGAATATTGCAAATTAAATTTTATTAAGTGAAACAAATAAACTGTTATTTAAATTAATTTTTAGACCATACAAGAACATTATAAGTAAATTTTCAACTTGACATTCACAGTGGGAAAGTATAACTTCATGTTTCCTGGTACTTTGTAAAGACAGAAATCTTGAATAAAATAATTAAAATAATTATTATATTTGTTTACTGTCAAATCACAATAAAATAGTAAGATAAGATAATTAAAATGATTAAAATATCATCTTATGTTCCATATCGAGCATTCGATTTACATCGGAACATTCACAACACGTTTCGGTTTATCAAAGAGTCATCAGGTGTAAATTATAAACTTTTAAACTCAAATTACAATTATTTATAGTTTTTACAATTTT